TTGCCGCTGTTTTTTTTTGACGGATGTTCTTAAAAATTTGACATATTCGTGCATTGATCTCAGCCTGTGAACCTTTTTGTGGCTGTCCAGCCCAGTTGTATTGGTGTGCGGGTATTTCCTCCTCAGACATTTCCGAATGAAGCAACAGTTTCAGCAAATATGACGCAAACATATTTTCATTAAAGTTACCAACTGTAATCATAAGTGCTATAATCGTAGGAATCCAAGAAGCTTCTTCAGTTCTAAAGGACTGGTGTGGAGTCACATCAATCCTGAGAATCTTCACTGACATGTTACCAATTGTAGCTCTAATGCTTAAAATATGAAGGTATTGGTCAATGAGTCATAAGAGAATTGACGTAAATGTCTTTCTTCCTCTGCTTGTTATAGGAGACTGATGTGCTTGAGGAGGAAAATTCCCGTCTACAGAAGGAAATCGCTGATCTACAAAAGGAGAAAGACAAGCTGGAGCTGGTCCTGGAGGCTCACCGTCCCATTTGTAAAATAGAGGACTCCGATTCCGATTCTGACCCGAATTCATCAATGTCATCTTTGGGAGGCATCAAACTGGAGCCACAGGACTTCAGCAATCCCGGACCCTCGACTAAACTGCCAGCAAAGATGGAGAAGCCCAAACCGAAGATAACCCTCCCCACCAAACGTGTGACGTCTGCTGCCTCTGCTGCCACCACTGAATCAGAGTCTCTCCACACCCCGGTTCTCACATCTACTCCCTCTCTCACACCCTTCACAGCCGGTATGGTTTTCACCTATCCCCCTGCCGTTTTAGACGCCAGCACCTCCATCACATCCACTGCCACATCACATCAGGCAAACATCCACCAGTCTCAAGCCCCACAGCCCTGCGGGATTGCTCACCGCCGCAGCAGCAGCAGCGGAGACCAGTCGGATCACTCACTGCACTCCCCGACCATCCTCACCCTGTGATTGACAGCGCTGTCTCCCTGGCAAAACACTAATGTTTGTTCCATCATGTGTGACAAGAAGAATCTCTGGGAAACACGAGGGAAATGAAAACGATTGAGATAACCATTTCAGAATGAGCTGCATGCATCAGCTTTGTTTCTTCTCTTTAGAAAGTCGATTCTTTACTTAGATAATATGAAAACTAGTGGCACTATCAGGATATGAATGTTACACTCTTTCTAGTATTGATATAAAGTCTTTATATTTTATAATTATCAGGTAGAATAAGAATGTTTGAGGTTTATTATAAAAGTGTTGCATGCAGAGTTATATAATTACATAAGCTTCTTTGGAAACAACTGTGATAACTCCATCTGATAACGTATTAACAGCTATAATTCAGAATAATGTTGAATTTAATGACTTTATACATTGTTACGTCATGTTCGGTAACACTTTATAAACTTCCTCACCAAGGGAAATAGAGTACTTATAAAGAAATGGTCCTTATTTTTGTATGAATCTTTTAAAGAATTCTAATATCGTCTATACAAATGATTGACCACTAAGGCTGGGCCGTAGGAGTTAATACAGATGATATGATCACATATTTATTTTTAAGAGTGTAATATATTTTTGGTATTGTTGTTATTGTCTCTGATGAATGCAATGATTTGGTGGGCAGTGCCTTACTTTTATCTTTTGTCAAAGATGTATGACTTCACAGACAATAAAGAGAGAAAGTTCATAACTTTATGTGTGATGGTGTAATGTTTTTGTTGTTATAATTAAAAACAACAACAACAGGAGGATGTGATTAGACTGAAATGCATCTTTTAAACAACACACTCAGATTCAGTTGAGAATGAATCATCTAAAGGTCCAGTGTGTGGAATTTAGTGACATCTAGTGGTGAGGTTGTAGAACTGCAATGTCTCCTGTGTAATAAGCTTGTAGAAAAACTATGGCGGCCATCAAGAAAACGCAAATGGCCCTATCTACAGCCATCTCGCGTTCGTAACCACATTCTGCACTACATACCCAACGTGTGTATTATTGTTCAGTATACTTATGTGTACATAAACAGCTGTATGTATCCCTTTGGACGCACTGATCTGTAATTACCACATCATTTCCTGAGAGCTTCTTTGCTGGTTGGGTACGCAGAGGCTAACCATGGTAACCCACGCTAATTCAAGCTCTACCACTAATTTACAAAATAATTCTAAAACTATATTACACCCAGCAAAGTGAAATCTTCTTGCATACTTACACTTAAATTGAACATTATTGATGTTACAGAGTTGTCTTGGTTTACGTCTATTATGGATTTTGTCTGCTGCACTGCATTGTGGGATATTTTTGCGGATGTCATGTCGAGTGTTTGAATCATATACATGGATTTTAATAATCGTCACAGACTGTATGATAAAGATGGACGACATGGCAGCTCCCCAAAAGTGAAAGCAAGACATCTGGATCACCTCCTGATGGTTGACTTCAGTATACAGTAGGTTATAACCCCTCCTCCATGTTAGTGGATGGGACACAGAGCCAGACTTAAAGGTCAAAGTACATGTCAAATAAATATTTCCCAAAGATGGTTCCTGTCATTTTGGGTAGTTCTTGTCACACTTGTGTGTGTTCAAGTGTCTATTTTTCTGATAAATATGATTTTAAATAGTTATTTGATGTTATAAAAAAGGGGATTTGACGACATGATTGACAGCTTTGTATGCCAGTTGGTGTGCACATGTTCAGTGACACTGCTCATGATTGGTCGGACATGTGTATGGGAGGGAAGTCAAAATTGCAAGATCTACTGTACTCTAAAAATAATCCACTGGCTCAACTTAAAACAAAGTGGGTAACAATTTGCATGCATCTTTTTTAATAGTTCCAACTCTGGCATTATTGAGTCAGTCCTATAACATGACAATCTCCGTTAGTTTAGTACAAACAACATGATTTGCTTTCACCTCAGGAAAACTAAATTAAGTTGAATCAACTTAATATTTATTCAAAAGTTGGTGTCATATTTAGTGGTCAAATTATTTTATTTAAGATATTATAACTTATTTATTTGAATTCCTTCCAACTTCTTAAAATAAGTTAACTGACTGAAACACATTGATGAAAGAAGCATTATTTTTAATGCCGAAAGCGCTGGCTCTGGCTCCAAATGATGTAATCAGCACAAGATGGCAGCGGCTGTATCCAGGATGATTTGGCTTCATGTTTGTACAGCGGAACGAAGCGGAGATGTGTCGTCCATCTTTATATAGTCTGTGGTTTGTATATTGTAATATTTTACTGCAAACAGTGCACAATTTACGTAGTAATTGTTACAAAACATTTCGGATATACTGAAAAAATCTCACATACTGTTTTAGAAAACTAAATAGTGTGTTAGTATGGAATTTCAGACACAGTAACTGAGTTTGATTTGTCCCTTGTGAGCTACTGTAGAAACAACTTAACTGACTCCATGTCCATTTCAGGTAACTACACACAAATGAAAACATAGTAATGAATATTGTATACCATTTCTGCCAATAGATGCCTCTAAACTCTACACACTGGACCTTTAAAGTGTGCAAAAAAGGTTCTTACATTTTGTCAAGTGAACACTGAGACACCAGAATAACCCAAACTGGAACTTGAACACTGTAGAACTGAGATCAATCACTCTACTGAAGACTAATCCGCATCTATTTTGTGTTTAATCAAGCAAAAATGAGAAGTAAATATTGTCTGGTTGCAGCTTCTCCAGTGTGAGGATTTGCTATTCTGATTTATATAATTGTAAATTGAATATCTCTTTGTTTTGTGTGTTGACCCAGAAAAAAGCAATTTGAAAACATAACCTTTGATCCTGATGAATTACAATGGGCATCATTTTTTTACATTTTATAAGCGAATCGACTAATCAAGAGAATCATCTGTGATTAAAATGATCACAACCGTTTTACTGACACTCATTTAAAGGCTTTGATGGCTGCAATTTATCCTGACCAACTCTTGTGACCGCTCTGTGCCTCTCAACTGTGAACACTGTGTGCTCTGTTACAGCGTTTCCCAAAAATGAAATGAATCTCTCGCTAATACATACATGGCTCAGAGGCCATTGGACTGCTCTGTTAAAATGGGGTTAGAGAGAGAAATAGAGATGGAACGAGAGTCAGATTGAGAGCTAGAGAGCATGAGGGGGAGAGAGAAAAATCAGTGTGTATGTGGCTGTCAAAGGATGTCCGTGCATCACTAAGTGGCTAAAAGCATTACTGCCCTCTTCAGCTCTCCAGACTGTGCAAATAGGGATCCAAAAATAAAACTGATGAACATCCATAAAGTCAGCCCGTGTGACATGACGAGAGCATCAATCAAGCACAGTCGGTTCAGACACGAAGGTCAAAACAGCAAGTGTAGAAATCAATATTTCATTCTGTGTCACCATGTAAATGTGTAAATGTTGGTTTTCTGCAAAGTCAAGCACACAAAGAAAGGTCAGAACAGCACAAGGTGTCATACCCACTGTATTTAAAGCTCTTCAATGCACTACGAGCATAGCCCACCAATAAACAGCTAACGACAAAATAAATCTGCTCTAATCCATGTGCATCATCTATGATTTAAACTGAAATCGGTTAGTAATGCTAGTTAATACAGATAAACCTAGATAAAGAAGGGTCAAAGTTAAGATCATCCCGAGTGTTACAGGGTAAATACAAAGCATGAGTTACAGGAGACAAAGCTGACTGCCGCCAACTCAAACAAACCTTGATATGCTAATTGAACATCAACAACAATGCAATAAAAAAATGTCATACGTGTGAGTTTAAACAGCTTCAAATAGAAATCATTAAAATGTGTAGACCTTCCAGTTTGATACAAAGAGTTTCCAGTTGTTGTTTTTTTTTTCTTTTAAAAAAACTGACAGTTCAGTTCAGCTGAGTGAGGTCCAAGGACATCTATCATGTCTGATCCAAAACCTTAACACATGTGCTGGCTCTGCCCAGGCTCGAGCACATGTACATTATGCACAGCAGCCCCACCCACCCACCCACCCACCCACAGTAAACCTGAAGGGCCTTCACATCAGACTGGTTAACAGGCCTGTACAAATTGTGACAATCATCATGCACATATGGCACTCCAATCCTGTCCTGAGGAAGAGAGTGCATAAAATATTACACATTATTGGGCGTCTAGCAAAAGCAAATATCAAATAGTTTCATTTTTTTTCCTTTTATCACAACTCATCTATTTCAGTGCTATTGGAATTCAGTGGACTAAATATGGCTCAAAACTGGATTGAAATGAATCTTTAGATCGGTGATTTAAAGACCCATGGTAACGCTGTCCAGTGCAATAGAAAACAAGGCTTCTACCAGTGTAGGCTAGTCCAGTGCATGAGATAAATTTATATATGTGACCCACTTTTTTGGTCCCATTTCTTATTTTTTTTTTTCCAACAACAGACCACTGAAAAATGAGAATTCCCCCAAACAGGGGAGTCATTAGAAAAAACACTGTAAAATTTAGATACATTATCATCTGGCAAACATCTATTAAATGTCTTTAAAGTCCTGAAAATGTCAATAGTGGTAGATTCTTTGTCAAGTCAAAACCTGGTGGCACACAAATCTTTGCAGCATTCAGAAGGCCCTAATGCTTTTGCACCAAAATGATTTGCATTGTTTGACAAAGCTTCCGTGTCTCCATCCTGTCACTCACATCACCCCTAGTCTACAGATTCCGTATTCGAGTGGAGAGCTTCTGACATCAGTCATCAGGTGAGCACACCAGGTGGAGCTGGTCCGGGCTTCCCACGCTGCCTGTGCTTGAGCTCCCGTCCCCCAGATCCCGAGCCACCATGCAGGGCAGGTTGAGCTCGGTGGACCCTCCGGGGCTGGAGTCACTCCTGCTGACACACTCCTCCTCCAGGACCAGGCACAGCTCCTTCAGGTCCAAGTTCTCCTTCACCAGCCCGTCCTGCATGCGCTCCAGGTCGGCGAGCTTTTTCAAGTAACCACCCAGGTCCTCCCGCATCACTTTGGCCGCGTGATGCCCGAACAGCTGCCATTCCCTGGCCAGCTTCTTCACTTTGAGCCGGTCGTCGTCCAGGAAGCAGCACAGGTCCCGCAGCTCCACGTTCTCCTCCTGCAGGCGCTGATTGATGACTTTCAGTTCCCTGATTTCGAGGAGGTGTCCCTGCAGCTGTTTGTTCACCTCTTTTATCAGCCGTCCTCGCTGGATGAGAGCTGAGATTTTCTCCGACTCCTCTTTACGCAGCCGGCTCACCAGCTCCTCTTTGGAGCACGCCAGCAGATCCTCGTCAGACATCTTTGACAGCTCCCTATTTATCACCTCACCTTCGCTCCCCATTTTGCTATTAAAAACCTACACCTAGAGGGTACCTGAGAATCTATTAAAAGAGATGTAGCTGGATGCTTCAATGCTCAACACGGAGTCATCACATCCTCTTCCTCTGCACACAGTGTTTTCCAGATGTCATATGCAATCACTACAGCACCGGGGGCCAAATCATGGCATAAACATGTGATTTCTTTATTTAGATGGCTTTCTTCAAGTCCTAATTTGTGCTCAACCCAGTGTCTGTTCTCCGTGGAAGATGCCTTAATGAGGTCGTGTATGAAAACGCAGCGCAAACCCTCATTAATGTCAATCTGTCATCTTCCCAACAACAGGCTGTGTTCTCCAAAGGCCTCCAGGAGCACAACTGTCCTTATTTTACCTCCTCGCTGTATTTTGTAGACAACAGCCTCCCCGTGGGCTCCTCTGTGCTGTATGGACAAAGGCCCCGTTGATCCACGGAGGCTTAATCCAGCAGCCTCGGATGCACACCCTGCAGATGTTGTGTTTTTACGTCGCTGGCATCGTCTCACCAGGCTGTGTTTCGCTCGCCTCGGCTGAATGAACTCCGTTCCCCGGTGGCTGGAGGATGAGTCCGTAACGGTGCAGCAGCTTCTTCACAATCGATTCATTATTTAGATACAAAAACAAACAAACAAACAAAATAAATCAAAATCCAATCTCGGTGTTTATCCGCTCAAAGTAAGTGCATCATCTCTGCTCATCCTCTGGAGCTGGACTGTTACCACAACAATGTCCGCCTCCGCCACTTTCACGGCTGTGAATCCGCTAAGCAGCGAGCTGCGCGTCAAGCTGGAGCACCACCGGAAGTCAGTGTCACGAGACTTCAAAATAAAAGCACCGATTTGTGAAACTTTAAAGGGAAAGCCACCTAAATTAAAAATTACGATATGTTACTTTAGTGGCCTGGGAAAGTTAATCAGCATTTGTGAACATGAGCTACTCTCAAGAAAATAAATCTCAAACGCGTGACGTCATAGCATGTTAAGTCTGGAGCTGATCCATAGACAATGAATGGGAGCCTGATTTTGTGAACCCACATAATGTTTGTTTTATATTAATACTCACATGACCTTTATTTCTATTGTACATTTTTATTCCTGTATATTTCTGTTGTATATTTTAAATTTTAGTACTACCTATTTTGAAGTACTATTTATCTATCTATCTATCTATCTATCTATCTATCTATCTATCTTTCATCTTCAAACTTAACACGCTATGGCATCACAGATTTGAGTTATACCACTCTAGGTATTCGATAAGAGTTGTTAATTTTGACAAGTATTTATGGATGGTCTTACACCTAAGGGATAGGCCTATATAAGATTATTTTTCGCAAGGTGTGAGATAACATTGTGACATGTAACTGAGGTAAATAACTAACAACACACAAAGCAGAATGAAAAAAGAAAGCACAAATTAAAGGAAAAACAAAACAAAAACACTCATACACAAACCCTCATCAAGGTAGCAAATATTATATCAGAAATAAAAAATAGTGATTAAATACAAACATGTATACACTATCCAAACCCCTGCACCCCCATAAAATAAATAAAAATAAAATAAATTAAAATTAAAATTAAAACTGAGAGTAGAAGTTCTTGAACAATCACAATTAATTTCATGAATAACACAAAATAAAATTGACAGATAATTTGAAAAAAAGACCCCAATAAACAACAAACAAATAAAAGTGCTCCCCCAATTTGGCTGTTGACTCTTACCAGTATCTATTAATCCAATCTATAGGCTGCCAGAGTGTCTACTGTTACCATTTAGCCCCATTTGCTATGTAACTCTTCCATTTGGCCGACAATGTGCGTCTCATAAGATTTCCTCTGACACCCTTTACATGTGAACGGTTCCATTTCTTTTACTTGTTCCTAAACTGTAGGAATAACACACAGATTTTTAAAAATTAGAGTAGTTCCCCTCTAATGAAAGAAGTGAGAGCCCCTTGTATTTAACTACAACTAAGTGTTCTTACTTCTAATTCATTTTTAATTTAAGCATTAACTTTCATTTTAATTGATGGCGTCTTAATCCAATGCAATGATGTTCCTCCACAACAGTGCTTTTATTTTGAGGGATTTTTCCGGAAGTTTCACTTTTTATGATGACTGCTGCCTTGGCTCGTCGGTTAGATAGTAATCAGACATATTTGTGGTTTCCTTTGAGGTTTACAGTGGCTCTTACATACCATAGCCCTACTTATGGAATGATATTCAGTGGCAGCACAGAGTCGAGCAGCTCAGTGATCCATCTGAGCTGACTCTGACCATCTCAGCCTACATTATGAAAAACATTCAAGATGTGTGCGTGAGGATCTGCTCCATGTGTTCCCACAGTGAGGAGCTTGTGCGCCCCCATTTGGATTCAAAAACATACTTGTACCTTTATCATGCTATGAAACCAAAACAACACGGATGAGCACAACTCGCAGAGGAAATGAGTAGGAAAGGCCTGCGTGAGTCCACTTCCTCTGGGGGTTTCTGTTCATTTGAATGATGTCATCCTTAAAAACTAAAGACATATGACCAGATCTTTGCTGTCCTCAAACCTTAGCCAAACACCAGACAGTCTACATCAATAGGCCCTACACGCCTTTGGGGTGTGGTACAATGAAAGATGTACAGTACAATGCAGTTGTGTCATGACTGACTCCTGGTTGGACCCGTTTCTTTTCAAAGAACTCTGGCGGAAAGTGTGACTGCAGGCTTTTTTTTCCACGGGTTTATGCTGAGGCATTCAGCCACATCCTTCCGCCCTCTGTCCCACCTCTATTGTTTCACTGAGGCCATAACAATGTAGGGTGTTAACCGTGCAAGGGGGAGCTGCTGGTGGAATCAGGGTGTCATGTGGGGTTAGAAACGAGAGTGTTGATGTGCAGCGAGGGATCCGACAAAAAGACATGTTGACCGAGTCGTTTTCCCTTATGTTGTGATTTTGAAGGACACACGCAGAAACACAGAAAGGGAGGGCGAGGAGAGGGATTTGCAGGGATTTATTTAGATTAATCGCCGGAGGAAAAGAGAGCAGATTGTGTACACGCAGCAAGCAGAGCACATGAGGGCCCGGTGCTCACACAGAGGCCCATCTCTCATCCGACACATTTTAAAATAAGAGCTCAAATGGAAGGGCAGAGATCAGGCTGAAAATGCGATGTGGTAATTTGAGTCTTTATATAAGCGTCAATTGTAGTTTTCATCTGGCCATTGATGGCTTTATTTTAAAGGAATGGTAGCCTATATTTGTGTTGAGTGACAGGACTTATAGCCCACTGTAAAGTCATATACAGTAGATCCCATCTTTGGAGTCCGTTGGGTGTATTATCCTCTCTCTGCATTGTCACTCAAAGGTACAGATGGTAAGAAATATGCAGGCCGGAAACTGTAATGACCTCTTCAGGAGTCAGCCTGTATTATGCGCCCTCGGTGTGACTCTGGTTTAGCCAATAGGATTAAACACGGGCCAACTTTACGGCTCACATATACAGCATGTCAACATGGGGCATCAACGCTCAGCTGTAGGTTTGGGTTTAGAAGTGGGGAGATAGGCTACAATAAAGACAGGGGTAATAAAACAACCCAAGGTCTTCCGATAGTGTAGGCCCCAATATTTCTATCAATCTGGCAAATATGATGCACTAGGCTATTTCTAATTATAACCAGCAACCCATTACTGCTTTTATCTTAAATTGATGTTTTCAGTTTATTAAATTTGTCCTCAATGCAATTTTGTCTGTCTGCACTCGTACATTCACTGGTCAGGAAAAAATCTAGTTTTAACCCAAAGGATAAAACAATATAAAAATAAAATAAATGGCCTATAATAATAATAATAATAATAATAATAATAATAATAATAATTATTATTATTATTATTATTATTTGGTTTCAGAATAAAAGCCTAATTTCTATAAATACGCTAGTGAACCTGACAAAAAACTAAAATTTTGTGGTAAACACATAATCCTAAAAAACTTAATTTCGCAAAGTTACCTTTCCAGCTATCCCTGAATAATATCCCACTTAATTTTACCAACTTTTTAATTTTTTTAAAAACCATATCTTTTCTCTGACTTTGAGGGCGAGAGTATTGCTTACTGTAATAAGTGAAATATGACCAAGATGCTGTTTTATGTGTAGGTTCTAGCTATTATATTTTTTAATTTGTTTGTTTTTTTCCCTTCTGCACTACTAGTACATTTGTTTTAAAGCTACTGTCTATTTGTGTAAAAAAATATCAATAAATAAAGTGCATCAAAAAAAGTTCAATACATATTATGAGTAATAGACAATGTGGTAATTATGATTTAAAAATTGAACATGCAGGTTTTGGCTGACTACACACAGTGGCTTTTATTGGTACTGCATGTGATGTATGTGAGAACACTTCCTTTTGATCTGCACTCAAACAATATAATAAGTCAATATAAAACCTATGATACCCTGTTGTCAGATGTTCAGGGACATTATACCAGCAAACATTAAATAACTAAAGTTCAGCATAGCCAGAGGTACTCGTAACCTATTATTTAAAATAATAATAATGAAGAAATAAATTCGTTTTCATTAAAATAAGTGTTGTTTTGTTTTGAGAAGATAACTAAAGAAACATTTGATATTCCAGTGCATGTACAGAGCTTTTCCTCTGACGTAACAAAACCGGAAATTCGTGTAGCGTGACTGCTGTTGTTGACACTTAGCACCTTAGCGCCTATAGCAATACAGTCAGGCTACACTTTAGCAGATGTTCGTGTTTTAAACAACGTCCGTTAATTACTCGATAATGCCGCCATGTTAATTTGGTGTTAGTCTACCGTTTTGTTGTCTGGTTGTCAGTTTAATCGCAGCTAACGGTGCTAACTTTGTGACGTAGCTAGCATAAGATGCTAGCCTGCAATGGAGGAAGGTAGCCAGTTATGACGCCATGGAAAGAAGCTCTAAGTTTAACAATTAGAATTTAGCGGTATACTTTGTATTTCAGTATTTATCGTAGCTTCGTGCTTTAAACCAGGTGGAGCAACACCCAGAAAACAAGGTATGATGTGTGTTTGGCGCTGTTAACGGCGCTGAGCTAATCTGACATCTGATTGTTGATGGCTACTTCAGCTAATCAAATGCTAAACATTTCCTGATCCATGTGCTTGTACTTGTTTGCCTCCACGCAGATGGCAGTGGAGCTGGATGTGTTCGTGGGTAACACCACTATCATGGATGAGGAGGTGTACCAGCTCTGGTTGGATGGCTACACAGGTACGAGTCCCACCATAGACTAATGTGGTAACAGTTTACCAGGACTGTGGACACACTGATGAGTAGGGGTGCTTTTAGAGAGTCCTGGGTTGTTAGAGGTACCATGCAAAGATGCACACAATGTGTTTGTTTATTTATTGTTTTTTCACAGGAGTTTGGTTACAGTCTAAATTAAAATGCAGTGGTTCCCAATCTAGGGGCCAGGGGATGAAGGAGGTTGAATAAAAAGATTGGAAACAAAGAAGAGAAATTGCTGCCACACAAATGATGTTGTATTTTTCTCACTTTTCTTCACTGTTTCTTCTTTTAATTGTAAAATTAAGGATAGTGATTTCCACCTCCTCAGACTCCTGAAAGCTGTTCAAATGAAACAATCACTCTATTATAGTAATAGATCTCACCAGTGTCAAGGGATTGTGGATAGACACTGTGTTACAAGCAGAAAGTTTGGGAACTAAGTGCACTAAATGTGATAGGATTGAAAATGCACAGTGAATCTT